TAGATTTCAGTGCACTAACACCCAGTTGGATGACGTGATGGATTCCAGGATGCACTTCTGGGTCTGCGTAAAAGAAAAAAGAAAGAATCCTGATAAGACCAGAATGTAGTGGGTTAATCCAGCTAATGAACGGACATATCAGTTGAACTGGTGGTGTTCGGGGGCGAGACGACGATTGCAGACAGAAAAGGAAATATGGGCTTGGATGATGATGATGACATTCGAGACAGCAGTAGCAAATAAACAAATTTAAAAAGAAAGCAGCGAAATGATGCGATCTGCTGCTGCTCGCCTGTTGCTGTAAAAATGCTTTTTTTCATTTTCTTTGAGACAAAATATATGCCAGGAGGGGAAGGCGCGCGGGCGTCTTCCAAAGATGCCTGTTAATGATAAAAATTTTCTTGCTCTTTTCAATTGTTCCCTTCAAAAGTTGCGTGTTAACTCTTTCTGCACAAATGCATCTCGATCAGAAAGCAAAATTTTGTTCGTATCAAGCTTGTAGAAGGAACGGGAATAGGGGAAGAGTAAAAGGGAACACTCTGTTCACACAGTACTGGGTGACGTTAAGTTCCGGTGGCGTGAAGCACGGGAGTTATGAATGCTAGTGATGCGAATGCGCAACAACAGCTGATCAAAGCATCTGAAGAAGCTTGTAGAGGGGGGTGCTTCGCTGAAACAAAACACACTGTGGACATCGAACACAATGCAGTCTGGACAAGTTAATTCGATTACGAATGAGTCAGGAAGGAAACGTTTTGTTCGAAACCGGTGATGATGATGATGATGCACATTCCAGCGATGTGACGTCTCTGCTCGCGCTGTGCAAATTCTGTCATCCGTCTTTTTGCGCATTCAAAACCGGACATGAAGAATACGTTCACTTCGGCAAAGAGTGGAGGAGAATCAGTATTACTTCTTGAAAACACACACACACACACACACAACATTACTGGAAATCTGACATTTTTAGTCAGATGAAAAAGTAGCAGTTGATGGCGCAATGAAACGAACTAGAACTACTTGAAAAATCTTCTGCGTCGCAGCAATTTGTATTGCATTTAACGGCCCGCAAAGGGTGATGGTGGTGGCAGGAATTGAATCTAATACAATACAGTCAGCGAAAGAACGAAAAGGAAAGCAAAGAAATGAATGCCAAGGCTTTCAGCCACTGACCACCTGGTGATGCAGTTTCCAGCACATCAACCATCGTTATCTTCCACTAAAAAACCATGGTCAGTCCCTGTTCTCAATCAAATATCGGTCACAAAAACTGCGCTGATGGCCCAGAGGCCTGGTTACGATGAAACTTCGGGTGACCAAAAAGATTGTATTCATTTGTTTTATTACTATTCGTAACTTTTGATAACTTATGTAAACAAAAATCGAAGGAAAAAAAATCGATTGAGTAGAAACATAACGTATCGCGTGCAAGTGTGCTAACATTATATCAAATGCATTGCTTTTTTATAGGAAAGTGCTCAGCTAAGCAACTTGCGCATCAAGCTTTTAGAAAGCGGGGAAACCAACGTGCCTATTAATTCAAATGGCATTCCTGGCCAAAATTGTGCTCATCTTCAAGTTACTGTTCAAATTTTCATAAAATTGATGCTGTTCAAATTCTGACATAGCTTGGCAGGGTAGCAGTATTCTTAGCTGAAAATCGTTAGCTCGGTTCTATTAAAAAAAAAAAAAAAAACAATCCCAAGATGATTCGTTTCCATGGTCAGTTCACGAAAAAAAAAAAAAAAAACTTGCGATGCATTCAGGAAGGAAAGAGGCCCTCTTTACTCATCTGGAAAACCTGGGTCGCACCAAAACCCCTATTAATTTGCTTTCAAACAATCTTTGGTAGAAGTTATCGATAGATTTATCGGTGGGTGTTCACTGCTGATAATGTATTATCTTACAAAGGAAGATAAAATTCAGCCTTTTACGGAAGATAAAATGTAAGAAAGGTTAATTTTTGTTTTTTTTTTTTGACACTTTTTTACTGCTTACTTCAGGTGGAAGAAAAGGCGTCAATGTGAAATGAGCGGATCGCAAAAATTCGGAAAAATAAATCGAAATTTACATAAAATGAATGTTAAATTGTCATGAAAAGAAAACACAGACGCAATTGATAATACTGAAAGCAAAGCAAAAAAGCGAAGAATGAGCTAGATAAACGTAAAATTTAGCCGACGACGAGAAAGCAAGCATAGAAGTTATTCAAAAAGGATATAAATTTTCACCGGAAAAAAAAAACGATTTTGCCCGAAAAAGCCATTAAAATCGGCTGCTGCGAAGTGGTAAATTTTGTTCAAAAATAAATAAATGGCATTAAATTCTATTCAGTGTAAGCTATATCTTCTCTAAACTGTACTTTCTATGAGATGTACAGATATAAAAATGTACGTACAGCTTTGGCACAGTGTCAGAAGCAAGCAACTGCTAGCAAGGTTGTCGATGGCTCACTCTTTCGAGGGTTGCTTAGAAGTTGATGGCGATTTTGCTTGCCCCGATTATCGGGACTAGTGAGGCGTTGGTTGTTATTTAGTGGCAAATTTAACGAATCGTAGAAAAACTGATTGATCTACAGGGAAAAATAATTAAAGTATCTTTGAAACTGAGAATATTGCTACTTCCTACTACAACTACATCAAATGGCGCTGAGAAAAAAATCAAAAAAATACGATAAATAAGCAAAAAAGGCGTAAAAACTAGGAAATTTAGGAGAATTTTTTTTCGCCCAAAGTTTTTTGCATTCCCAGGATTCAACCAACTTTGAATCTGAGAATATTGCTACTTACTACTACTACTACTACATCAAATGGCGTTGAAAAAAATTCGAGAAAATGTTACAAATGAGCAAAAGAGATTTAAAAAACTGGGAAAAAGCAGAAATTTTCTTCGCCCATAGTTTTTGCAGTCCCGGCATTCAACCAACTTTGAAACTGAGAATATTGCTACTTCCTACTGCAACTACATCAAATGGCGCTGAAAAAAATTCGAGAAAATGTTATAAATGAGCAAAAAAGGCGCAAAAAAACTGGGAAAAAGCAGGAGGAGAAGTTTTTTTCGCCCAAAGTTTTTTGCATTCCCGGATGCGACACAGACCCCCCTCTCCTTGATGATCGCTGTACTGAGCTGTTGCATGGGCACTTAAAATTTTTGGCGAGAAAACTGCTCACTGATCAGCTAGGTTACTTTCAAAGAACGATCGTTAAATGAAAATTGTTTATTTACTTTATGCAAAATTTATGGTGATTTACGCTGGTGGACGCAAAAGGTATTGTGAATAATGAATGGGTGGATGAGAAACGAACCTGGCTAAGGATGATTCTTCGGATGAGACGATATCGGTTCTGGTCATACCACCGAGACCCGAGGACGAGCCACCGCAGTCCGACGAGGACGGCCTACAGATGGTACCGTTGGCGAGTGCCGGATTTGGTGGTGGCGGCACACCGGCCACCGCCGCCGCTACGTCGTATGGTGGTACGGCGACCGGGATCGAAACGCTGCTGCTACTGGTAGTGGTACCGTTGACCAGACGCTGCACTGCGACAACACGTGAAGATGGGTCGAGTGACGGGGCCGGATGATGATGATGATGATGACGCGGATGCTGCTGCTGCTGCTGATGATGATGATGTGGTGGCGCAAGACGCCGGGATGCTGCTGCTGCTGGTGCTGCTGCTGCTGCTGCTCCTGGATGCACCGAATATGTTGTCATTGTGCTGCACGCGCCGCCAACATCCCTCCAGGCTCCAGAAGGAAGCAACGCCAACCTAAAATTCACCGGGGAACAAAAAAAAAAAAAATTTTGAATATACGCAACTCACTCGGCCCGGAACTATTGGACGCGGTAAAACACGGAACACACGTGATAAACGTCGCCGGAAAGACACCCCTTCCCTCACACAAGTAATTTTTACTCTAAACAGCAGGGACACAATTT